AGTGACCCAGAGTCAGTCACACGTCCCCAACCTCATTGCAAGGGAGCCTGAGCAAGTCACAGAACACAGGTCTACCTGCTGAGCAGTAATGATGTCTTTCGCACAAAGGTGCTTTGTTTGTAATTTATTACGGCCTAACAGGATTGTCACAAACCTAGCAGCTTATGGCCACAAGCATTTATCAGTTTGCCTTCTGTCAGCCGGGACTCCCACAGCTTATCTGGGCCCTCTGTTTTGGAGTCTCAGAAAGTTGTAGTTGGGATGCGGGCTGGGGTCAGCATCTGTTTCCAGCCTTCCGTAGTTGTCAGCACCATCTGTGGGCTGTAGACCGAGGACCAAGTTCCCTGCTATGTGACTCTTCCCAGCACAGCCTGTGTGGTCAACTTAAGTAAAGAATCTGCCCATGAAACAGGTACAATCTTCTCTGACATAAATATGGCAGTGATACCCAGCCTGCTTTGCCACATCCCACTGATGAGAAGTTGGTTCCAGATTCAAAGGGAATACAGAATTAGGAGCAAACTAAGAGTTTTCCACTTCCAGAACTATCATGATATCCCTGGTTACCAGAAAAGGGAACTGGGACACTGGGATTCTGTTTCATCTTCTTAGAAAAGAAAGATCGATTCCATGATCCTTTAAGCGACGCAGGAAGAGCTCTCTATTGCGGTACAAAGGCTGGGTTTTGCATCTCCTCGGTTCACCTGGAAAGCAGCTACGAAACTGATTTAAGTAGAATGAAAAACTCAAGGTTCAGCAGTTTCTGCTCCAAAAAAAAAAATTACATTTCCCACCTACCAAATTACAGGGGGACTGATGGCAAACTTTTTACAGATTTCTATTCCCTCAAATTTCTCTTCTCTCTGCTTATCTAACACAAAGCAGATTCTCTTTCCTCCAACGGAATCTTGACCTTGACAAACATCCTCCAAGCCCGTGAGGACACATGAGGTCTCTGGATTTCAGCCATTCCTGGCCCTGCATCTCCTTTCCAGACAGGTGCTCCCCTGGAGCACCTCCAGCACTTGCTGGAGTAGGTGTTGGGCTCTAAAAGACCCCATGAGGTGCAAAGCTTTCAGGATCAAGCACAATGTGTTTCAACTCTATCATGTTGCTTCTACAGCCCAGTTCCCACTAGGATGTCACAACTCCACTCTCCTTCATGCAGTCACTGTCTGTGGGAGAGAATGAAAACACAAGGATAGTGAATATTTCCAACTTTTCTCTCGGCCAAACTCGCCCAACTCTGTTTCTGCTACTGTTCGTGTCTTCCCCTCCCTTTCCCATAATGCATCCATTGACAGCGTTGCGGCAGCCTTGTGGTGAGGCAGGTTCTACTTACAAAAGATGTGTAATCTTCACCCTGTTTAATTTTAAGTGATTCTGGACACACCTGAAAAGCAGCATATGCTAATGTATATTTATCATGAAAGGGTGTCAACTGTCCCCCAAGAAAGATGTTTAGCAACTGTCACTCTGACCCGACCCATATGTTAGTTTTTCCCCCTATCATTCAAATTTACATGAGAATACCCTAAGAAACCTGGTCTGGGCCTTAAAGTTTCATTGCTTTAAATTTAAAAAAAAAAGTTAATAAAGAACAAATAACTAAACATTGACTGTTGCATTCACAGTAATTTAATATAATTCTATTTGATTAAATATCATTGCTGTAAAGAGGGATTAAAGGCTAGACAGCTGCACGCTAAGTATAGCAATTAATGTAGCTGGAACTCAGGAATCTAAAAACCCCCCATTTTATCTCACTAAATCAGAGGATCTCAAGAGCAGCTGTTGGGTCATTATTGGATTTAAAACAGGGTTGTTGACCAGGTTTAATCCCTATAATAAAGTCAAGCATCGCAGTGTGTGCAAGGCAGAGAAGAATCCCAGAACTGGGGGATCCGTGTAGAGGCTCTGTCCCCCCGTGGAGTCGCAGCACTCACAGTGTCAGGAAATGTGTTCATGACATGTCTGGCCAGAGGCCAAGGTTGGGCATGGGGCAGCAAACTTGGTGGCAGAAAATAAGAGGACAACCAGTAAACTGCTGTCACCTGAGGGGTTCTATACAACAGGGGCTTGGCCCAAACCCTCTGCCTTCCCTCTATCAGGGGGTCTGCAACCCAAGGACTGTGGCAATATCCTTCAGGTTGTAAGGGCTCCTTGTTTTTTTTTTTTTCTGTCAAAGAGACTGATTCTTTCATCAAGGGATAAGACCTGCAGCTCTGGACTCGTTCATAGGATTGAGGCTGACTGAGATCAACATAGTCATGCCCTGATTTCAGTACAAATAACCTGACGACGTGCTGGAGTTAGCTGTTCAGGTGATGGTGCCCTCTCCATAGCTGCATTTTACCAATATTGTGTTGCATTTGTATTCATTTTATTAATTTGAAATGCATATAGAGAGATGGAGAAAAAAAGAAGTGGGGGAGGGAGGAAGGAAGGGATAGAGAAGGAGAGAAAAAGATATAAAGATAGGGAAAGAACAAACTCATCCATTTGCTGGTTCACTTCCCAAACAACTACAACAATTGGGGCTGAGCTGGGTTATAAAGTCAAGTACTGGGAACTAAATCCAGTTATCCCATATGGGCAGCAGGGATCCAATTACCTGCTGCACGCCCCCCTCCTCCCCGGTTGTACACAAGAATAAAGGAAAATCAGGAACAGAGCCAGTTATTGATTGTGGAATTCTGATATGGGACTTGGGTGTCCCAACCGGCATCTTAGCTGCTTCTACCTCTTATATGATATTTAAATTAAGACGCATTGGTTAGGACAAGAGCCAACACAATCAGCAAAATTTCATTGAGCAAACAGACACATTTATCCCATGAAAATCCATCAACTCACATTAACTAATGCTTGGCTTCCAACATTAGGGTGGAGTTTTTCTTCAGAATGCGTATCTCTAAAACTATATTTCTGATCCAACTTTCATATAACTGCTTTTCTTGGCAAAGGAGATATATTGATTTTCTGGCTCCACCCAGGCCTTGAACTCAGTTGGCTCTGGCGCCTTCCATTCCTGATCACAGGATGAAGAGCCAGGGCCGATGTAGCCCACCCTCTGCCCCTTCCACTCCTCTCGCTGTTGTTCATGGAGGAAGCACCATGAAATAGTGACAGTTATGTGGCAGCATTTGCCCGTCCCTCCTCGGTGCTCAGCTGAGCAAAGCACATGACACTCCTGATTCGCTGGTCTCAAGACAACAGGGGACAGAGATGAGTTGGCCAAACTCCCTCCACAATCTCAGGCGGACTTTGCTTGTCACGTGTGTGTGTGTGTGTGTGTGTGTGTGTGTGTGTGTGTGTATAAGATCAAAAACAGATTTTGCAAAGATAATGGCAGGATTTCTATCTCGTTCATTCCCTCTCTTTTTTTTTCTCTCTTCTGGTAGGAATTTGGTAACAGTTAAATTTGGAGATTTGCTTCAGATCCTCTTGGAAATCACAAGAGATGCAAAGAAAACAAGAAGGAATCACAGCTGTTGCTTATGGGAAATCAAGAGATGGAAAGAACCCGCTGGTTCCATGGCAAAAGCTGGAGCTGCAGAGCAACTGAGGCCAGCATGATGCCATGGGAAACTGGTGGGACAAACCGGAAGTCCAGAGTCCAGTGCCACTGGCAAGCCATTCCTCCAGCGGGAGGATAGACCGCCCCACCAGGAAAGGGTCGCAGGCACTGGTGGGTTACACTCAGGAAGCGACACATACTGGGAAAACACAAGAAAAAAGATCTGTAGGGTGCCCGGGGGCACATTTCAGAAAGCATCAACTCCCCTTACCATGTGGGGATCACCTTGGAAAGCAAGTTCTGGGTTGTAGTTTTGGGTCGCAGGAACTGATTGGATACCAGGGGAAGGGTAGGCCTTGCTAGAGACGTGATCTTCAAGGAGCCAAGTTGAGCAAGAACCAGAAACACAGCCCATGCACAGGAACCACCCTTCATTCCACTGCCAGCTCTTGAGTTGCCTGCCCCAGAAAGCTCCGGGGAGTTTCACATCTCTTCACCGTCCCCTCCATCTCTAAACTCCTACAGAAAATTGCTTCAGAACAGTAAGCAGGCACTTCAAATAGCTCGCAGAACATGGAATTAGAATTTTGGTTGCAGAAAAATTTTAAATTAATGCATAGGTCCAACAAAAATACAATTTTTATAAAAGAAACTTTGAGTGTTAAGGCACAAAATAACAATGGAAACTATGTGGGAAATTCAAGACTTGTCTACAAAGAAAAGATTTAAAAAAAATGTTACCACAAAATAGACAAATTTTATACCCATGCAAGCTATCAGTGATTTTCAAAATATAATGTTTCAAATACAGAAACCAAAATAGACAAACTCAGAGAAAAGAGGAACAAAAAACCAAAAGGGATGGTAGAACTTAGGAAAGAAATGATGAGAAAAAAATGACAGAAACAAAAAAAAAATGAATTGTGTTTGATGAGATAATACAGGTAAAAGAAGTGAAGATTTATTTTAGGATTAAGTCACGATGTGGGACACCTACATTGCCTATCACACCAGATGACTTGAGTCCTAGCCTTTCTTACATGTTTTGTTTTGTTCTAATTTCACATTTAGAGAACTGGATCCATCAGAGTTTTTTTTCCTACAGTTTTTAAGCTTAATTTTAAAAATTATTTTATGACACAGTTCCATAGTCTCTGGGATTTTCCTTACTACCTCCCTAAATCCCATCTCCCACCCTGATTTATCTTGTATCATTTCAATAGTACAGTGCTTGGCGATCAGTCATAAGTTCATCATTCTGCTGTTTAAGTGTATCCTGACATTGTAGGCATGGACAATGGCAGGGTGTCCAGCATCCTATTGTCAAGATATAGTTAACAGTTTCATTGGGATTCCATCATTGATTTGGAAGCAGAGATGCACACTGCATTGTATCTTTACATCTGGACAAGGCAGTCTCTATTGCAGAGTTATTATTCATCCCCTTAATTGAAAAACCTTAAAACAAAATCAACAAAAAAACCCCACAGAACACCTCCCTAATTTGCATGTCATCCTCGCGCAGGGGCCATGCTCATCTTCTCTGTATCATTCCAATTTTAGCGTATGTGCTGCTGAAGCAAGTGCTTGTCTACAGTTTCATTGTGTTAAACACAGAATCAATTTTATGGAGGGACCAGTTTATGTTCTGGTACTGTCCGAATAGCCAATGCTGAGAGATTTGGAAAAGAGGCTTTTGTAGAGCCCACTCTCGGAGGTCCAAGAGCAGGGGCTGCTCGGCTCTGTCATAACAGAACCTCTGGCATCAGGGCAGGAGACTGTGAGCTAAGAGCATAGGGGAAGAGCCTGCATGGGGAGAAATTACATGGGGAGATGGAAACGAGGGAATCAGGGCCAGGCGTGCACTTTATCTAACAGCTTGCTCTCCTGGGAGCTAACTGGAGTTCTACAGGTACATCAATCTCATTCCAAGATGGATCCCCAAGGACCAAACACATTCTACTGTGCCTGCCTCTGGAAGGGTCCAGAGGCTCAGCACCATCATACTGAGGACCACGTTTCCAACACAGGAATCAACGAATGTCTATGCACAGACAGGAACACACACATCTATTGGTATGCTTGCACTTAAAAAGTTTGTGGCAAATGGACTTAAAAGTTTATGTTGGAGGGGTGGGTGTGGTGGGAAAAGCTGCCCTCTGCAACACCAGCATCCTGTATGAGTTCCAGTTCAGGGTATGGATGCTCCCCTTCCAATCTAGCTCCTTGCTAAAGGCCTGGAGAAAGCAGTAGAAGATGGCTCCTGGGCCCCTGCTACCTCTGTGAGAGACCCAACAAAGCTCCCATCTCCTGGCTTTGGCTTAACTCAGCCCTGGAAACTGTGACCATTTGGAGAGCGAACCAGTGGATGGAATACCTCTTTCTGTTTCTGTCTCCCCCTCTCTGTGGATAACTCCTTCAAACAAACAAATCTTTTAAAAAAGTTAATGTAGGTATCATTTTAAAATTTTATATAAAAGCCAGAGGTTTCGTGCATTTCATATATAATTTTCAGAATATTGTTGTACTTCTCATTCTTTCTCCCTCTACTGTTTTGGTTTTCTTCTAATTTCTGTGATGAAACACTTTCAATTTACTTTGGTAAGTTCAATACTCTACTAAATAAAGAGTTCAACGAGTAGTGAGCAGAAAGACCGCTTTTTCAAAGGAGCATTGACGATGGCAACAATCAAATCTCAAGGTGTCAGTTCTACTCACCTATGTTGATTTTTTTTTGAGCTCTATATGTTAGTTGTCACAAATCAAGTAAAGCAGAAATGTGAGATCCATGCAGAGTTTTTACATGATGTGCACATATGTTTCTTTGTGGATAGATATTTAGATATTACTAATGTAGCAACAATAAACTTGTGAACTGAGCATGAGCCCTAGATTGCAGACAGAGCATGCCTACGTCTGCCTCCTCACACCAGAGAATGTCCCAAGCCACACTGTGTGATGTGTGTGTGTGCCTAAGATCCATATTGTTCTTTAGGAGTGTTTTTAACTTTGTGCTAAAGATATTTTACCGTCTTTTACCTTTGGAGACTTCAAAACTAAAAGCCCATGAATTACAAGCAGCGTTAAGTATTTTAGGCAGCAATGCATTCAGTCTGAAGCCACACCAGCGGTTCGAGCAGCCAGAGGAATTTGATATAAAGCATGGTTCCTGTGGACAAAGTTGTTATTCACTAAAAGCATAAAATGAGAGCTCAAAAGCATCACGAAGGAGGGCTCCACCATCCCCCAAGGCTCTGAAATCAAAGGAGAGTAAGGGACAGACTCAGAGAGGCAGCCCTGGGGACTGGGAGGCCTGCTCTTTGGAGAAGGGTCTGCTTGGTTGGTGTGGATGTAGTTCCCTGAGCTCAGAGGAGGGACTCCGGGTGCCTGTGGTGGGCCTTGTTGAGCTGTTTCTGCAAGTGAGGCAGAAGGAGCCTGCCAGAGGCAATGCTGCTGCAGGAAGGAGCTGACCCTGCTGGGAACAGCAATGGAGCACAGTCAGTTCTCCCTCCCCAAGCAGTGTAGTCTCCTCTGGGACTTCCTACAGACCACACAGCTCCTGGTTCCTGCTGGCCTTACACAAGGGGGAATGGGAGGATATGGAGTCTCAGTATCTTCATAAGCAGCAAACCGTTAATAAATGACAAAATTCTGACAAGGCTTTTGAAATGTCATAAGAAAAACTGCACATGTGAGAGCAAAAGAAATGTGATTCACTGCTGATGGGTTCATATTGTTGAATTTAGCTGTGGTTCACTCGTTTTGATTTCTATCTCAAATTTCATTGTGGGAGGACGCCTCCATTTATCCATCCTTTGTTGAAAGTACATGGATTGTCTCTAGCTTTTGTGACTGTAACAAAGCTATTATGAACATTCTTCATATTCGCAAGTGGTTTTTTTTTTTTACTATTTTTCTCTTGAATATAAATGTAGGTGTGAAATTGTTGGCTCGCAGAGCTTAGAAATGTTCACATTTAAAATCTGCTTCTAGTTTGCATGGTAGCTACAACTAATTTGCATGGCAACCTGGGATAGATAAAGTCTGTTAATGCCATTTTTTTTCTCCAGAGCTTGCTACTATCACACTACAAAAAAAAAAAAAAATAAAAAGATTGATTTATTTGCTTGAAAACATCAGAGCAAAAATGAGATCTTTTCCATATCTGAATGCCCATAAAAACCAGACTTGGATCAGCGTAAAGCCAAGAGCCAGGGACTCCATCCATTTCTCCCACATGGTTGTTAGGGCATCTTCTGTTGTTTTCTCAGGCAGGGTAGTAGAAACATAGCAGCTGAAGACTTGAGCTGACTCTATGCTGTGAGGTTCTGGCGACCATGAGGGGCAGCTTACCCCAGAAGGCCACAGTGCGGGCCCTGCCATATTCTCCGATTATTTTGAACTTGTTAGAATTCAGGCAATATCACTCATGGGAACAAGGGACCCAGTGAGAAAGTTACTTGTTTTAAGCACAAAAGGACACAGTCAAGCCATTGAACAGATGACTGGGGGATTTTTGATGGAAGACTTAGTGTGAGGACCTAGAACACGGCCTTTGGATTTGGGTGCTCAACAGAAATCTCCTACTTTGCACATTAGGAAGCAAACTTCTGATAGCTCCAGCAAATCTGTCACTCAGATTGTCTGCCCATCAAGGCAGTACTGAGCCCATCCTCCTAGTTGCTAAGGTAAAAAAGTGCCTTTTGAGTCACCTTGAGTCTCATCCTTCTGGATCTACCCTTGGCTGGAGCTGCGTTTCTGGTTATTTCTTGTGGACCTCATCACACTTCTGCACTGGCCTGAGCACCATAATTTCCTACCTGGGTTGTGACCGCCTCCCACCCGTGCTCCTTGAAGCCGTGTCTCCCCTCAGTCTTTATCTCCATCACGCTCCTCCTCTGCTCGAATCCTTCCAGGGAGCCCCACCTGATTTAGAGCAAATGTGAAAATCCTTACAATTTCAGCATCCACCTCCACAGTCTTCTAGAGTTATCTGTCAGCTAATCCCCTCTCCTCTCCTGCCACTTGACCCCTTACTCATCCCATTACAGCCACACGGCCTCCCCACTATTTGCAATAAGCCAGGTGGGTTCCTGCTGAGGGCCCAGGCACCTGCTGTCACTCTGTTTGGAACACTTTTTTTTCTCATCTGCTTGCACAGCTCAGCCTCTCCCCACATCTTATTTCAGGGTCACTTTCTCAATGGCTTGCTCAGTCTGCCCTGATGAAAATGGAAAACTGCTCCTTCAGTGGCCATCTCCGTTCAGTCTTGGATTCCTCTACAGCTCATATTAGTAATATGCAAATATCTTACTGAATTAAAACTGTGAAATGATCAACTGCAAGAAACGTTACCATCTTATGCACTGCTAATTAACTAGCCAATTCCAAAGCCATACCAATAAGACTGATGCACTGCTTTCTGAACATTTTGAAATTATTTCATGCTCCCTGAAACAGCTTATTTTGGACTTAGCTCCCTATGGATTTTTATGACATGTCACTGGTGTGCAGGCTCCAGAGGAAATCGTTGGCAAAATGTGGAAGCTAGCAATTGAAGTCCCCTCATGCTGAGGGGATCTGTTCTGGGTCATGCGGTGTGCACCCTCAATGTGGATGTTATTCCGCATGACCCCACGCCCTGTGCACCAGCAGCATGGAGGAGGCAGCATCTCTTCAGGGTACTGTGCTGCTGCCGGTGGCACCTTCCGCAAGCTGCTGCTCCACTCTGCACATCCTGACAGTCAGGCACAGGCAGGAGTGGTGTGTCATGACTGACAGCTTGTCCATCACACAGCAAGACCTGGAGACATCTCCGAGATCTTCAAATGTGTGTTTAAGATAAATTATGGAATTTTAGTGTCAGCTTTATTCCCAGATTCCTTAAACAAGAATGCAAGTTGAACATGGTAGGACCTGGGTTGGTTTTGTTTACTGTTGTAGCTCAAATATGTGATATACTTCTTGGTCCATAGTTATTCATTTATTTGGCTGTGCTAAGAGCCGTAACATTAGAATAATGACTCACAGTTTCCCCTTGGACCCATATACCCTCTGTTAGATCCTACTGAATGGATGGACAGGTGGATGATGCATGAATTAAAGAACAGCCACTAGCTTGAGTTGTTTAGTCTTTTAAAGTTATCAGAAACTTAAAACTCTTTATTTAGATAGCTGTGAATTTTGCCCCCAAATTAGACATTTTCCATTCACATTTTATCACTGATCACAAGTGTAGGAGAAGTTATAGTAAAGTTAATGGGAAGTACTATACCTGAAATTGCACATCTCTGATAACCCCCTATCTTAGAACACACTATTGCTTGAACAAGAAACGAAAAACATAACAAGAAACTGACACCAGAACTGTGAAACAAGAGAAAAATTGCTCTGATCAATCAATATTAATTTTCTTATATCAGAATAGAGCAATCCAACTGCATTGGTGTGATGCTGCTGATTTTATTTAATTGTGAAATGATCATATATTCAAATAGCACCTACTGGGAACAGAAAGTGAAAGAGCGCACGCGAGCTTTTATCCTGCTTCTTTCAATTGCTGTCTTGAAGACCTTGATACATT